TTCTACGTTAAATAGGCACAGCAGAAAATGCACAATCACAAAGCAAAGATGGAGAAGCCCTAGGGGCACACTGTGTGCAGCTCATCAGGAGCACCCACCAGACCTTAAGCCCTGCGTGGCCGCGGAGTGCTGGCAGCTCGGCCTCCTGCAACCAGCCCCAGCAGTTGGACTCCCTTGGTAAATCGTCCAAAATAAACAGCATCTGTTTTCACAGATGGAGAAAATTAAGACATACTGGTAACTTAGTTTGAAATAATAAGGCCAGGCATAAAAAAATGAGAGGCAATCTTTCCATAAGATGGTGGCTTGATTACTGAGGATAGAGCAGATGAATAAATCACCTTGGGCTGATAGGCTGGGACTTGCTACACATCCATAGGACTGCAGGAACTGCTCGTGTGAATCCTCTTAGCCCGAAGGAAACAGGAGCTGAGTGATGCTATGGAAGGGACCTGCAGGCAGCAGCACACACATGGGCACTTACTGCAAATTAGCTGAGGCTTTGCAAGTTCACACCCTCATTTGCCTGATGGTAACTTCCTAATCTGCCTCCATTACTGAATGGCATCCTGGGATTTACAGAACTGTAAAAAAGAAGAAAACAAGAAAAGGAATGATGTGGCATGTTTGGAGCTTTCTTTGAGAAACTGTTCTTTCAGAAGTCAACTGAAGTGCATTGAAATCCAGCACTTCAAAGGCTTCAAGCCCATTTTATTGACTGGAAGGAAGATGATGGCAAGATAACGAAGGCTCAGGAGCCTCGAGCCATGGCTGAGAGCCAAAGATAGCAGCAGGAACTGGGTCTGCCCTCTGCAGGTCACTGAGCCCTTCCTGTGCTGGGCTGCCCTGGTTAATGACCGGGTGCTGAGGGCAGTCACTTAGAAGTCAAAATGGTTTCACTTCCCCATGCGAGGGCTTTTTGGCATCTCTCTCCCATGAAACTTTCCAGGCCAACAATATCTCAGCTCCAGTCCTATCTGTTGCCAGAGCTCCCAAGTTTATACTTGTATAAGAACAATTTAAGGTTCTTGAAATACTTTGCATTGGGCTTTTAAGGAAATCTGACAAAGATGGTGCTGTTACAGCCCAAAGTCCTGCTCCCTTCCGGGGAGAATCAAAGGGAGCTGACCGTATTCCGCAGCTGAAGGGATGAGGGGGGCAGAGTCCACAGGCTGCAGATTCACTCCTGGATGAACCGGGTTGTCTTTGTCCTCTTCTGATCCCAAGGAGCAAGGGATCAGAGCAGAAGTTCTTCCCATAACAGGAAGGTCATCAAAAGCCTTTTTGTGCTGTACATCTCAGCAGTTCATATTCTATCTTGGCCTTTTTGTAATGTGGGACAGTGTTTCTGCATTGTCCACACTTGCATGGGGTCATTCACTCTGTCCTAATGCTCTTCCTTGGGGCTGCTGTTGCTGTGAGCTGTCAGTGGGCTGAGAAGCAGGACAAGAAGGCAGGGAATTATTTGGTATTTCTTTACGCAAGGCATCAGAGCCCTCTCTTACTCAAATCTAGCAGCATCATCTTCAATGCAAATCTGTTCAGAAGGAAATGCTGCAAGGCTGTAGCCTAGCAGCCCAGCCAAACTGCCCCTCAGATTCATCTCATCTCACAGGGCAATTTAACATCACCATTCACCTGAAGGGTGTATATTCTTCCAAAGATCTCCCCAGAGTGAAGACACTGGAGATGCAAGCCAAGAGCTGCAGAAAGCCCAACAACTCTACAGAATTTGCACACGGATTGGTCTTCTGGGGGCATTTTAAAGCAACCTTCCTGGAAAGGGAAGAAAGGTCTCAGAGAGGGAGGAAGATCAGCCTGGAGCAATCAGAAGTTCGTGTTTGCCCAGGAGTCAGATGACAAAAAGGAAGGGGTGATGACATCCCTCACAGCCACCTGCAGCCCCCGGGCACAATCTGCCCCATCTTTAGCCACAGGTAGCAGCCCTGGAAGAGCCCCAAGGACCAAGTGCAAGCACTGCTCTGAAGATGCAGAGAATACATCAAGAATTTTCAGTGATGTCCTTGAGGGATGCATGCAGAAGATAGATGGCAAGGGCTGGGACTGATAGGAGGGAGGGCAGCAAATCTCATTGTCACTGCTGTGTGCTGCCAAAAAGAAAACAGGGCATTCCTGCTCCCTCTCTTCCTCTGCCCCTTTCTTTTTAGCCCACTCTGCAGCATGAGAGCTGTGGGAAGGGCTGAGGGCTTTTTCCTGCCCTTTTCTCTGGCCCAGCCACTCCAAAATAAACAGCCCCCAGAAAGCAGCACAGTGCCACTTCAGAAATCCACCCCGGAAGGAGAGATTTCATAGAAGAGCGGATTATTTCCAAGGGTACTAAGATAATTACATGGGTAACGAGGAAGAGTTCAAGAAAACAGTTTGAATTTTCTTATCAGTTTCCCATAGCTTGGAGCAAAAAGAAAATAAAATGCTTTGCTATAATCAAATCATGTTTTCTGAAGCCCTCTGTTGGCAAGCACACAACCTCTTCAGCTCTCCCATTAAAACAGAAACGCTTCTCGCAATGGAAAGAAGCGGGGCCCAAGAACAGGACGTGGGCTGCTCTGCCCTGTCTGCTCCTGCTGGGATCCACGGATCCATCACTTCTCTCTCTCTCACTAAGGCAGGGGGCCCAAGGCCACCGCCCACCCGACGCAGTGCTGACGTCTCCCTGCACCCCAAGACCACAGACCAGCTTTTCTGCCCTTAACTCCAGCAGCAGCTCTGTGCTTCCGCACCTGCACCGCGCTGGTGGCCACGCGAGGCTTTGTTCCTCGGTGCAACAGCACCACACCTAAAGAAAAACGTGAGTTATAGACATACAAATTAACCAACCTGAGGCGTCACGCTTTAAAAGTTTTAAGCTGAAAAGCTTTAAGTGATGATGGTGAAATCATTCAACACAGCGATAGCAATCAACAGTCTGACCGAGCATTGAGCAATAGGAAAAAAGGTGTTTGTTAAGCCCAGAACCTTTACATCCTGTGGAGCAAACTGCCAGACACCTCAAAAAACAGCAAGCACACAAAGAAGTTAAGGCATGACATAGTTCTATTTCCAAGTGGTCGCTCCTAAGCAAGGCAGGGGATGGGAGGTGACAGCACACGTACCCACGTCTGCTGCCTGAAAACCACAGCATTCCAGCTCAAGGTTTGGGCCGCTGGTTTCCAAAATGGAATTCACCAGGTGGGTTAAGATATCTGTTCCTTACCAACACCAAACTTCAACTCGTCACTCTGCAGGCACTCGGGATGTTGATTGGAACAGCATCTTATGAGGCACTGGAAGAGGAACTGATCTTTACATGCAGTGAAAATAAAGAGCAAGCTGCGTATCTGGCAAAATTCCCCTTTCTTCCATTCATTATTATTATTTTTAACCAGCTATCTGTTGGCTTGGTGCTCAGCACCCCCCTGCAGTCGTACAGCACACGCTTTCTGCCCCCCATTCGCACTTGACAAGAACACAAATTGGAAGCTGGCACTTCAACATGGCACTGAAGAAATCTCATCCCCACCTTGGAAAAGGATACACAAAAAAGGATTTTTCTTCTCCGGCACAACCACAGACCCCATGGAACTCAGCCCCACACAGAGCCAAAACCACCAATGTAAATGTTTGCTGCTTGGACTCAGGTCTCACCTTAATAAAGACAGCCCACGCGTGATTGTGTTTGTATAAAAGATATTTACTTCAATTATCACACCTAGGGTGCTAGTGAATAATAATAATAATAATACATCGTGTGAGTTTCATACAGTGATATTGCTTCTCCATATCATATAGGGACCGTTGTACAGTGCTGAGAACAAACATTATATGGCTAACCAAACAAAGACAGATAAACAATGCCATTCTGCTGACGGAGGGAGCGCTCCCCGCTACTGCCAGCCATATAAACTCTTACTTTTCTTTACGTTTAAACAAATACCAAGAAATAAAATGTTACAAAAGATGAGTCACAGCAACACAACGTGGGCTTCTCGAAGCTACTTGTACAAAAAAAAAAAAAAAAAAAAAAAAAAAAAAAAAAAAAAAAAAGAGAAAATTTTTTTTTTTCTTTCCTTTTTTTTTGGTCAATTGGGTCTTTGTGAGGATCTTTTTTTTTTTCTTTTTTTTTTCTTTTTTTCCATTTAAATCCGTGATTGTGAATATAACAAACAAGCTCTAAAAACACCTAAGACTTAGTGCGTTACAGAAAAAAAATATAAAATACTGCTAAAAATGTAAGACACCACAATACACTGGGGTAAGATCTGAGCTTATCATTTAAAAAAAAAAAAAAGTTCTCAGGAAAAAGTACACCACTTTCTGTTTGAGTTCATCTTGTGCTGTGTTAGTAGTCGGGGCATTACAAAGGTCTGCCCATCATCATGGCAAGTAGTTATTGCACAAATGCAGAGAGTTAATTTCTTAATAAAAACAATGACAAAAGGGAACATGAGGGAAACAACTAGAAAAGGAAAAGAAAACCAAACCAAAGCCAACAGAAGAAACGCCATCCCTCCCCCCCCAGCCTCCCCCTGCTTTGGGACACGGAGCCCTCGGCTGTTCGAGTGGCGCAGCGTTGGTTTGCAGCGCCGGCACACAGCTGGTCAGCACAGCACTGCACAGAGCATCCTGACAGCAACAAGCTTTTACATCTCTTTTCCTTCTTTTCTTCCCTATTTTTTAAGGGTTCTCCGATCGTTTCCAGAGGGCTCCTTTTTTTTTTTTTTCTTTGCTTTCAGGCTACATCACCAAAGGATGGGAATTCACCGGGCGGTTTCGAGCGGGACACCCTCAAAAGGCAAAGTGCAAATCTGCATCCAAACCCGGCGCCCTGCAGCAGCCCAGCTCCGGCCCTGCCGCACGCGGGGGTCACTCTCTCACTTTTGCTTTGGCAGCTTTTCTCCCATCTCACCTCACCAGGGATGAGCCCAGCCACTGCAGGAGCACGGCACAAAGATCAGCGCACGGCACAAAGATCAGCGCACGGCAC